TAAATAACGTTTCACATGACTAGTTACTCACATATTCAGGATTCTAGTCCAGTACTTCAGGGTGGATTGGCTTTGACCTTCAACTAGTGAGTTTAGTACTAAAACTCTAATACATAATGTGAACCATATTACTATAAACTACTCTATCAATAATAAGATCCCCACACTATTAGACAGGATTTTGACTATAATGAAAAATGAATCAAATTGAAAGGTAGATGATCTAACCAGAGAACACAAGTAGGAAATGGAGCCAGAATCTTTTCCCCAATGAGGCTGAACAAATGAACAAATAAATAAATTGCACACTTGAATTTCACCCATTGTACTGGCATCATTCAGGGTAACACAGTTCTTGGTTTTCAGAAGATCCTAGAAAATTTTCAGTTGAACCTATGTGCATTATCTGAAACAATATTCAGAAAAATATCAATAGAAATAGAAACAGATAACTGGCTAAAAATAAACTCTCCCAAACAATTCTTAGGAAAGAAACAAGATACTGACTATTCAAGTAAGCATTGGATAAGGACAGGAAATTGCATCTTTTTAAATAGATAAGATTTCCCATCACATAAACATAAAATAATACCCTCTATCATTTGTGTTAACATTTGTATCACCTAAAATAAACTCTCATCCTGATGTTCTTCTATAATTGGCATGTGACAAAGCACACACTGAAGCAAATAAGAGTTTAGAAAGCATTCTTTATCTTTATGTTATAAGAAGCCTGCAGATTTTCCTAAACAGACAAACTTTATTTTGTTGCTATGCAACAGATGTGCAATACAGTCCTTCAGACAATAAATAAATTATGAATTTTACAATGAAAGGTCTTTTCTCCCTGTTTGAAAACAAGCCACCACTTCCTTTCATGCTATACTAATCCACCACAGCTCTCTAAAGCTGTTTCACAAACGCTAATGTTTTGGCAAGATAAACAAATGAATGAATAGCACAGCAATGACACAGATGCAGCTTGCAGACAGCACGCTAAGAAGCATCAATACTACTTGATTCATTCTTACAGGTCTGGGATCCTGGGTTCACCAAGCGTGGAAAAGAGAAGGAAGTTTATTTCACACCCACGTTCTTCTAAATAGCAGAATATAAGTGAGTTTAATGAAAAAAGATTCTGATGAGTTCTGTTAGCAGACACCCATCACTGCTACATGTATCAAGCATGTTCTGTGTGGGGACATGAGGGTGATTTTAGCCATGAGGGGAACATCTGTGAGGCCAAGATGTCACAGGTGTTGAGAACCCATGACTCATGCACCAGACTGGCCACACTATGTTTAACATGACCTGCTCCATGTTTAAACTGCTAAATATTTGCCAACTCTTAAAAATCTTCACATAATAATGTGGATGTCTAGCTTTCCTTGAAAAATAAGAAAATAACACTGAACTTGCATTTTCACTTAAATTGGTGGGAATCAGCTTCCAGCAGGTAAAAACTGCAAACAACCCAGTAAATCAATAAACTGTGGTACATTCACACATTGGGTTACTACAGAGCAATAAACAGAAAGAATTACTGATATACTCAACAACATGAATGGACTTCACGTACAAAACCAAAAACAGTAGTATATACTATTTGGTCCCAGTTATATGAAGTTCAAGAACAGCTAGAACTAACCAGTGGTGATGGAAGTAGTGTAAGTTTACTTCTGGTAGAGGGAGTGGTTTGGGGACAATGGAAAACTTCCAAATCTTGATCTGGGTGGTGGTGGTCACACGGGTGTGTGTGTAAAATGTATCCATCTATGACAAATTTGGGCACTTAACACACATCACTACAAGTACCCTGTGCCTCTATATGAAATAAATTTTAATGAGAAGAATCAATTGGCCGAAGAAAAGGTGGCATTTTTAGATGGGTTGTCATCCACCCATACCCAACAGTTGGGTCATTCCATGATCTGCTTGGCAAATTGGATTTGATGTTTCTTGCTCTAGACAACACCAGTGATGCCTTGAAGAGCAGTATCTGCCTCACCTAGGAGCATGTTAGAAATACAGAACTTACCCCAGACCTCCTGAATCAGAATCTGTTTTAGCAAGCCCACCTGGCATGCTACAGTTCATGGGGTCGCAAAGAATCAGACATGACTGAGTGACTAACACACACACACACACACACACACACATGCACGCACACCAGGTTATTATAATACATTCTCCAGCTTGAGAAGCACTTCTGTAGGGTACCACATACATTAAACACACAAGAAAAGCAGGTTGGCTTATATTAAACTATTCGTTCCCTATTATCCCTTCTCTCAAAATATTTTAAGAAACTCAGAAACAGAAAGATCAATTGTCTTCCTTAAAGAACTTCTTTCAAGCTCAAGTGAGAAAATCCCCAGAAGTGGATATGCACCAAACACACCCTCTTCCTGTGTCAGACATCACACACCTTTGGTTTTAGCACTGTTAGAACAGGATCGGAGACACTCAAGACAATGTAAAAACAATTCTCTATCTTTCTGATTATGGAAACAACACACATCATAACATTCAGTCTTATCACAACTCTGAAGAAAAAAATGGGGATCTATGTTCAAGGAGGTAGTGTGGCTCTGGGGGTCATCAAAGTGTCTAGAAATTCACAAAGACCATTCATCCCTTTCTCATAAGACTTACTTAAAGCACCATGTGTGGATCTTCATTTGCTGAGATAGTTATCAAGTTTTTAGCAACCTGCTGTATGAAGCCTACTATGATGTAGGTTTCCCAGGTGGGTCAGTAGCAAAGAGTCCACCTGCAATGCAGAAGATGCGAGTTCAATCCCTGGGTCAGGAAGATGGCAACCCACTCCAGTATTCTTACCTGGACATCCCATGGACAGAGGAATTTGGTGGGCAACAGTCCTCGTGGTCGCAAAAAGTTGGACACGGCTTGGCAACTAAATAACAACAACAACAAACCATGATGAAGCCAAAGTGGACATTCTTTGCCAACAGCAAAGACACTTCCAAATCAGTTGGTGGGATCAAAGAGGTGCTTATTATAGATCTATAAGTTTATCAACACTAACTGGAAACACAAACCAGTTAGGTGATGTGACAGTCAAATCTTTTCTTGGTATCTGGAGAATAACTTAAGGAATAATTTTCATCACATTGAATTGCTCATTTTTTTACCTTGTATTATTTATTTATTTGGCTGCATCACGTGGCATGGGGGTTCCCTGACTGGAGTCTAACCTGGGCCTCCTGCAGTGGATGCACAGAGTCGTAACCACTGGGCCACCAGGGAAGTCCCTAAATGATTCTTTTTTATCAGACCCAGATATAATTTCAAAAAGAAAGATCTATGTTTGTGTCCATCAGAGTTATTTACGAACATTCCAGCATTTAAAGGAAAAGAGAGGAGGAAGGAAGAAGAGAGAAAGACAGAGAGAGAGGGAGAAAGAGACAATGAGAGATCTGAGAATAATAAAGCATCATAATAAAACAACAAAATATAGCATCACCATCATATATTAAGTTAGTGATTCTCTAAATTGTTCCATTCAATACTTCACAGTAAGTGAATAACCAGGGAGATGGTGAAAAGAAATTTAAAACTCTCTTTGGTTACCAACTTTACCTACAATCTGTCAAAAATCTGGCTAGGGAATAAATGTGATGTTCATATGACCAGGGCTTCATGGACAGTCAACCAGTGCAGTCACATGGGACTCCATGCTCCAAAGGGGGCCTCATATCTTACTGACTTAAAATGCTTAATAATCTTATCTTTGAGTTTGTGTAAAGGATTAGGGGATCATGGAACACGTGCTGCAGCCTGGGAGCCTAGAATGATACACTGTACCTCCTCCAGCTCATCCACCCCCTGCTACCTCCCCAAGTCCCTTGAGTGAGTCCTTGGCTGCTGGCTCATCCAGCCCCAATGACAGCATCACCATCAGCCCCCTTCACGGTCCTGGACACAGAGGAGTCAGGATAGATCACAGGGCAGTGTTCAGGCACCCATGAGGATTCCCTGCCCAAGGAAACATGACATTAAATAGAAAGAAAAGATTCTATGACAAGTTCAGAGAAAAATCTTGGTAGAAAGCCTTTTTCCTGCTTTTCTGAACAGGGGGCCCACATCGTCACTTGGCATGGCCTTCATAAATCATGAAGCTGGCCTTACATGTGACTGTGAGTGGGGAAGAAGCAAACGAATGAAGGAGATGAGGTGTAAGAGAATGAACGAGTATACACATGAGGAACAGAGAGGTATTTGGGTTCTGAGAATAAAACAATTGAATTCCATATTGTTACACATGGGCCAGATAGCTTCTTTTCAAAAAATGCTTTATTTCTCTCTGATTAAGAAGCAGTCTGAAAAAAAAAAAAAAAGAAGCAGTCTATATCATAAAATACTCAGATATATTCAGATACTGAAGATGTGAATGGAAATCTACATTCAAAGAAGTCACATAGCCCAGAGTGTTAAAAAGTATCTAGAAAATCACTTTTATCCCAGTTCTATCAAGTGCTATCTCCTTAGAGTTGTGAATCCAAATCTCCTGTTTCTCCAGACACATCCAGCCTTCTAAGGTTGTCCTTAGACTTTAAGAACACAGTTTTAGGGATATCCAAATATAGTGAAGGTTTATAAACAGGGAGATCATTATCTTTTGACCTTGGCACTAGCTACCTCCAATTTTACCCAGGAATATCTTTTGTTTGTAGCACGTGAGGCTGCTAGGGGATGACGTTGTCTAAAACCATTTTCAATGTTTTCTTTTTAACAGTTAATATATTTCCAGGATGCAAGTCCATTTCTTTCTAAAAGGTTCCTAGGACACTCATTGAAAAGTCAAAAGCAATGAACTTAAAATAGCAAGGGATTGCTATTTTGCTGGAGAAGAATGACACCCTTTGTATCGAAGTGGGGAATTACAGGCTGTGGTCACTCTCTGCACAGTGTCTCTTTGTCAAGTAACACATGCCAAAAAAAAAAAAAAAATACAGATGGGAAAATATTGTGCACTGTCAGATCTTGGAAACAGCCAAAGGATTTTTCCTCACCAATGTCTTGTCGATGACTTTCACATTCTGGCACCCTGAAAAAATAATGCATACATTTAATATGAAATGAATGCAATAATAATCAGGCAGGTAATCGTTTTCCCAAGGAATGTAAAACTTGACAAATGTAAGGTTTATGATTCAAGGTAAGCTTGCCAAATCTTATGTGGCATGAGACCATTTTTATTACCTAAACAGTCCTTAACACAAAATGACTGGCACATATTTTTATTAACACAAAGAGTATATTCTTTTCTGCCACATTTAATACAGAGTCAGTGGCTAAAAGTTCTCTTTTAGGATATGTCTGTAGCAAATTAAAAGGCAGAGTGAGGATTCAAAGAATGGTATTCTTCTCATGGATGCTGTGTCTACCCAGCCTCAGCTCAGAAGTACATAAACCACTGAGCTCTGGAATTCTATCTGTGGGGATGGTCTGGGTGATACAGATCACAGAAAAGGAAGCCCTTGCTACCTTCAAAAGTAGGGGAGGGGATGATTGACTCAAGATGATTCATTGCATCTAGAGGTCCATTCTGAGTCAAATTTGAAACAGTCACTAGGAATAATGATTATTTATTTGTTCATTCATTCAGCAAATATTTATTATTTACATGCTATGCTTTAATCCAGACACTAGAGATACTGCAGTGAAGACAACAAAGATCCCTGCCTCATGGTTCTTAACATTCCAGAGAGGAAACAGACAATGCACAATGTGTGCCATTTAAGAAAAATAATGTGATAGATAATCTACAGAAGGTGTTAGGTGCCAAGGAAAATAATGAAATTAGAAGGTGTTAGCTGCTATGGAAAAAAATGAAACAGTAACAGAGAAAAGAACTGGAAGTTGGGTGAGTGGAAGACAAATTGCCATTTTTAATATGGTGGTCGACACGGGATCCTATGAGACAGTAAGATGTAAAAGTGTGACTTGAAGCACACAGGGGAGTTTGCAACATAGATTTTTGGGGAAAGAGCATCCAGCAAGCAGGAAGAGCAAGGCTAAAGCCTTTAGGCTGAAACATGCCTGTTGTCATCAGGGATCAGCAAGAAGGCAAGTAAGGCCTGGGTGGACATATTTGTCACTCAAATATGGCCTGAGTAACAGTGGGAGGAGCTGAAGTCAGAGAGGTGACAGAGGTCAAACCACATAGAACCTCATAGACCATCATGAGGACTTTGGTATTTATTCTGAATAAGTTGGGAGCAATTGAAGCTTGCCAATAGAAGAGTGATAGGATCTAAGTTAATGTCTAAAAGGATAGTTCCAATGCTGTGATCAGAATAAACTGAAACAGCGAAGGAAGACAGGATAGACAGGCTGACTCAAAATACCCAAGGATAGAGATAATGACAGGAAGGATACACAAGGAAGCCATTACAATATCCAAGAAGGGAGATAACGTAGGTTCCAATCAGGTTTCTTTTACAGAAAGCACTTCTGTGGATGGATGTGAGGCTATGAGAGAGAAAAGGAGTCAAGAGTGACAAGATCTGAGCAAGTGAGACAAAGGTATTAACATGAACTGAGACTGAAAAATCTGCAGGTAGAGCAGAGTTAATGTAGAAATTGAGCAGCTTAGTTTTGGACAGGTAGATTTTGAGATGCCACATAGACATCTAGGTGGAGCTGGTGGCCAGCCCATTAGATTTATTGTTCATGTGTTAAGAGAGGAGAAAGAATATGATGTAGCATTACCCTTAAGGTACTAATAAGACTTGCCAAAGCATCCCAGAAAAGGCTGTCCAAGCAGAGGCTAAGTGACCACTAGAGGAAGACATGCTGTGGAGTTCCTCCCTTCGAGAGCTCTCTGCACTATAGCCAACTTTAAATTTAATCACTCCAAATGGTTCCATCCTCTTCCCCCTCAAATTCACTTTTTTTCACCAAGGAGCCTGGCCTAAAGACACCCAGAAGAAATGAAATAGTAAATGATAACACCAAGTCTTACCACTCAGAGCCATGGCCAACCAGAATTCCTCCTTCAGTATCTCAAGGACATCCTGAACACCTTTCTCTCCCTAAGCAAGAAGACACAGATCTTTTGAGTAAGTCTGTATGACTGGTTTCCTGAATTTATTTCACAGTTGAGTCACTCTGTTTTATATTATTTATTATTTTGTCCTCCAATTACCTGGGAAGCCAAGCCCCAAATGATCGGTCTCCCCACAAACACAGCCTTGGCTCCCAGGGCCAGAGCTTTCAGAACGTCAGTTCCCTTCCGCACACCACCATCCAGGAAGACCTCCACCTTCCCTTCCACAGCCTCCACTATTTCTGGCAGAGCGTCAATCTGTGGAGAGAAGAGGTCAGTGAAGTGATACTGTGCATGTTGAATTGTTCCCCAACTCGACTTCCACAGGCCACCAACCATCCAACTAGCACTGAGAGTAGGAAAGGCTAGGCTTAGAATCAACAGTAAAATCATTCTCTCCTAAAATAAAAGAAGTGCAAATGCCAGCAACCAAAGACAAGCTAAATTTGGAACTGAGTGGCTTATTTTTCTGTCGAAGTCCAAGGTTATTTTTTTATTCTTGATGTGTGTACATGCATGCTAAGTCGCTGAGTCCTGTCTGACTCTGTGCGATCCTACGGACTGTAGCCTACCAGGCTCCTCTATCCCTAGGATTCTCCAGGCCAGAATACAGGAGTGGGTTGCCATGCCCTGCTCCTGGGGATCTTCCCAACTCAGGGATCAAACCCGTGTCTCTTAAGTCTCCTCCAATGGTAGTCAGGAGACGTATAGTAGGTAGGTGGTACTAATACCACCTGGGAAGCCCTTATTCCTGATATATGGATTCAAATACCATGATCCAAATATGTATATATAGGTATACATACAGAACTAAAAATACATAATCAGCTTAAAAGACACAGAGCTACTCTTTATTAAATACATAAATACAAATGAAGTATCTTCCTCATATAAATTATTCTGAACATTAATTTACTCATTGAAAATCAACTATTAAAATTCATACCCAGATTGTGGTAGAAGCAATGGTATATAAAAATGCAAACACTATCAGTCACAAAAAAATTTAGTCTCTGATTTTCCCACCCAAAATATGAGAAAATACATAATATAGCAAATATATATAACAATACAACAAACATCCAGTTATACATTAGAGAATTCTCCCTGAAAATATTTGTTCTTGCTTTTAAGGAAAATGACTACATGCACTTTGAAAATCCTCATCTTGATTAGCAGTTGATGATGGGCTTATTATATCAGCTCTAGAGAATATAAGAGCCTCATTGAGGTCCACCTGCTAGACTGTATTATTGTTCGTAATTCTTTACACCACTCTGAACCCACTCTTTTTCCAAGGTCACTTGGCAGTGTTTCCCAGTTTAAAACACACACACACACACACAGTGCACTTATCAATCCTTGACAGTGGCCTTGGCCTTGCAACCTACTTTGCCCAATGACATGTGAACAGAGGTGTAACAGTGCCATTTCTGGGCATGGGCCTTGAAAGACCTCATACATTTCAACTGTCTCTTTCAGCTGTGCCATTTGCCACGCGAGAAAACTACTCAACGCCCCCCTACACACAGAGCTGAGACCTCCGGAGAAGAAGGAGAGTTGTCCCATCCAAGCCCAGCTGGACCTGAAACTTGGAGAACAGCCACCCAGCCAGTACCAATCTAGGTCAGCAGACCCCCAGTTGACAAAAAGTTTCATGGAAATAATGATTTAAATCACTGAGTTTGGAATCTTTTGTTTTTTAGCATCATGTGGTAATAGCTCATAAAGTTGGTTAATAGCCAATATAGTTATAGATAGTAACTGACACAAATGGCTACTTTGGTGTAAATCTTTGCATGTGAGGGTGGAAACAATCTCATAGCGACCTACTATAGTGACCATAGTAGGTCAAAATCTGCAGAAATTATCCACACTTATCCCCAAGTACTTAAATATAAAATGAAATCCATACATTCAAGTGCAGTTTTTCTAGAAATAATTGTGCTGAAATCACTCAAAACTTTCCTGCTTCTCACCCAAAATTTGAGAGGCTCAATGTAAAAAGAGTTTTATGTAAAAGACTGAAGACCAAACCCAACTACAGATTTGGAGGAAGTGAAGGCAACAGTTGGAGCACAGCCCCCTAAATGTTTGGCAAGTAATGTGATTTTCCTCTTTTCCTTTTGGCTTTTCTGCCTGGCCAAACATGCTTTGGATCCATTTACATATGTCCCTTTACCTATACATAGTCCTCCTTTTAGAGTCAGGCAAATTACATCAACATATAAATGCTACAATTTCCAAGTGATGATGCAAGCTATAATTAAGTATATTTCCCCATTTGAAACCAAAACCAAAGAAAAATATTAGCTAGTTTCAGTTCAATACATGTTTTCAAAGTCACGCAAATCAAGTCTTTTAGGATATTTCCAATGCCCAATCTGACCTAAAAAATAAACTAAGGATACTTAAAGTGTGAATCCTGGGTTATAAAATGAAGCCTAGATTGGTGTTTTCCTGTCCGTGGACAAGGAAGTTCTATCCATCACAGAGCATTTCTATCCTCCCTTTCTTCTTCCTGGAGCTGCAGTTTTACTGGGTATATATTATGCAGAATAATTCTGACCAGAACAGGTAAAATAAGTAAATATAGTGAACAAGTCCACTATTTTATGACTTTTCTGTTTCTTTTCAGCTTGCTTCACATCTAAAAGACCATTCATTTCAGCTTTTCTTTTCTTAGTGGTTCCTTAGACAACTAATTGCAGGCTTAGCTCCAGCAGAGTTAATCTACAGGAAAATATGGTAAGATTCCAATGTACTACTGTTCACTCATCCATCCATTCACTGATTTATCAAACAGTTTATTGATGACTTGGTAGATTCCAGCCACCATGCTAGGCAGTTTATGGAATCCAAAAATAATCCCACAAGGACATGACTCTGGGAGAGCTCCCCTCTTTCCTGTTCCTGCCGAAGGTCCTCCCTGTCCACAAAACTTCCACTCACAAGGTGCTTCCATCTTTCTACCTTCTTAAAGCATCCAGTCCTACACTCGTGATTTCTGACATTTTAGGCATTAAAACACTTTAAAGGTTCCAAACCAGATCAGTTGAGCACAAACAAACAGATAAAGCCAGAGGTGCTTTAGCTAACAATGAAGAAGACAGATTCCAGGGCACTGCCCACAAGTCCTCATCCGACTGTCTACCCACCATGCTTCAGGCAGCCCTGGCTGGAAATGGTGGTGTGAATTCTAATAGGTAGTGTGAGTTCTACTAAGCACGTTTAGAAAACCCCTGGTCCATATAGGTCTGGCTGACGGTTTGCCATTGCAGAAATGGCTGCGGCCATCTCCCACCCTATCTTCATTTCCTTGCAATGCAACATTTCTGCTCCTTCCATCATGAGGGAGAAATGAAGTCAGAAAAGTCTATTTCCTCACCCCTTGAATCTGAAGTGGCCGTATGACTAGCTTCCACCAACAGAAAAAGAAAGAAGTGACAGTGTGCCTGTTCTAAGCATAGAGCTCAAGAGGCTTAGATATTTCCACTTGCTCTCCTTGTGAGACCCAGCCCATCTAATGTTCTAGATGTGAGAGACAATGCAGAGCCATCCCTGCCGAGGTCATCCTCCACTAGTCTGCCCTTGTAGACCCAGCAGCTGACCACAGACATGTATAAGTGAGCCCAGCCAAGAACACAAAACCTCTCTGTGGATCTCAGGTCAAATGGAAAGTTCACAAAGTTATGACATGAATCAATGGCTATTGAATTTTAGCCAGTAGATTTCAGAGTGGGTTGTTACACAGCAAAAGCTAACTGATAAATCAAATGGTTCTCAAATGAAGAATATAATGAATCCTTTTCAGAAGGAAAAAATGAAATTTCCGATGTCATAGAATATACCCAAGGACTCAATTTTAGAAACATTGATTTAACAACCCAAAGTTTATTTTATGAAAATGTTTTGCAGTTGAAAATGTTCACTAGAAAAGAATGTCATATTTTTAAGTTTAAGGACTTCCCTGGTGGCTCAGTTGGTAAAGAATCCACCTGCATGTGGGAGACCTGGATTTTATCCCTGGGTTGGGAAGATCCCCTGGAGGAGGACATGGCACCCCACTCCAGTATTCTTGCCTGGAGAACCCCCATGGACAGAGGAGCCTTTGTGGAGTCACAAAGAGTTGGACACGACTGAGTGATCAAGCACAAGTTTGGATCCAGTTAGCTTCAAAAAAAAAAAAAAAATTCTTTTTTCATAAAAAAGGAAAAAACAAAGAAACGTTCCTAGGGTTCAAAGACTCCACATAATCTGTCTTTAGACCCCAGTTTGAGATGACCTAGTATTGTGGATTTTGGAAATATACTGATTCTGCCATATCATTCTCTAATCACCTCAGGACTAGTCGTTGCCACGTTATTACCTTCAGAGTAAGGATCTTAATATGAACTTATTTTTTTAAGGCAGATGTTAAATTATTTATAAAAGCATATACTACTGAATTATCAAAGTTCTTAGAAGGAAATATGTTATTCTTTTCTTTTATTGGAGTATAGTTGTTTTACAATGTTGTGTTAGTTTCTGCTATATAGCAAAGTGAATCAGCTGTGTGTTTACATATATCCCCTCTTTTTTGGATTTCCTTGCCATTTAGGTGACCACAGAGCATTTTGAGTAGAGTTCCCTGTGCTATACAGTCAGTTCTAATTAGTTATCTATTTTACATATAGTAGTGTATATTTGTCAATCCCAAACAAACATATTGATACCCACCTTGGTATCAATATGTATGTTCTCTATGTCTGTGTCTCTACTTCTGCTTTGCAAATAATGTGAACTTATTTTTATACTCTTTGCTGGAACAGGCCATGGTTCTCAATAGCACTGTATTACTATGGACTGCAGTCAAACTCCTGATCCGGGGCTCTTAGTGATAAGTATTTCTCCATACAAGAAAACTCTGTGATTTACAGAGATGCAGAAATCATACAATCCAGACATTTAATTTTTGCAACCAACACAACATTATGCAGAGACTGAAAAGCTGAAAAGTCTGAGCAAGTTGCTAACCCAGCTCTCACCCCTCTAGAGGCAAGAAAAGGACTTGAACCCAAGACTCTGGGTTCATTTCAGTGCTTTTCCAGTAAAATCTCACTGCCTCTTTGGCTCTGAGTTATGATGTCACAGAGTGTGCAGTAGAGTAAGTCCTTCTGTGTATCTACTGAGAAGTTCTATATCACAGCCTCCTCCAAGTCTTTTGCCAAATGCCTGAAAACCAACACACTGAGAGAAAAACACCTTCACTATAAACTTAATCCTGCTTCACATTTCTCTCATCATCATGCACCTTAAATTTGCTCTAAAGTGGGAGGCAAACTCAAGCAAGTATCTCCTCTCAGGCACACATCATGCAAAGGGGAGGGTCATTGTTTATCTTAAAACAGTCTCTGAGACCACAACTCAAAAAGCCCTTTTAGATAAGTTTCCATATCCCCTCAGCCAAAAGGAAATAAACCACACCATTCAGATATTTTTCCCTTAAAATCTAGTTAGATTTGATTTCAGTAGATTTAGATTTTATTTTTAGAAAACAAACTTAATTTGGCCTGCCCACTAAGTCCACATCTTCATACACAAGAGAGGCATAAATCAGCGGAAAAGCCTTGAACTGTTACCAACTTCTCCTGCCTGCCCAGAGGAGCTCTTCACTTTCCACTACAGGCAGTGTTTAATATCACCTAAAAAGATGGGTCTTTATAAGTAATGCTGAATTGGAAAGAGCTAACAACTTCCAGTTTTATGATTTTAATTACTGATTCTATGCAAAGACTTGATTTGTTCCTACCATTAGCCCATTAGTGCTTCAAGAAAAACTCTTGAGTGCAAATGCATGTGCCCAGTAGCCCCTGACCTCATTCAATCTGTCCTAAGACCTGCACAACATCCATGGATTTAGCTAAATCAACCTGCTATCTTAATGAAACAGTAGTCTACTATGACTTGACTAAATTATTTGAATAAATTCAAATGTTTGCCCCAACTAAAACTGTCCCATAATAACTATGACTAAATGGTTCTGACAAAAGGGGGAAATGGATATGGTGATCTAGCTCAGAAATGATGAACTAAAGAGTCTATCCACATTATTTCATAGATACATATTTATTTAAGTTGTGTTATATGATGTTAGCTTACTTTGCCTATGATAAATGAGATTATGGAATACTAAAGTTTAAAGGCACCAAAGAAAAAATCTAATCAATTTTTTTAACTTTAAAAATGAAAAAGCTGAGATCTGGAGGGCCTATCCCTCTGCCCCATAGCAGGTCAGACTCTTCTCTCTTTCTTTGGCTCTCATAATTATCCAGGCCACCTCATTGGTCTCCCTGCTCCCTGTCATGCCACAGTCCAATTTGTGGTACTTGTGTTGCTGCTAAATCAAGGCTTTTCTATTGCATATCTAATGACTCATGATATTTAATATTCAAAGACCCCCTCCCTGACCGGTCCAAACAGGCATATTTCTCAGGCTCCCAACATCCACCAGATACTGCAAACAAAACGGATTCCTTGTTATTCCCCAAGAATATCTCAGTCTTTCCCATTCCACTTTTACACTCACACTAGTGAAAGCAGGAGTCCATATGGGAACAAAGCAGAGGTGAAAGGCAGCTGCAATCCCACTGCCTCATCTAAAGAAATCCTGGACACATTCTCACAGTGGACAGCATATAAGGGACCCCTACGCCACCCCACCTACAGCTTCTGGCCTTCATTCTCAATCAGGGATCCATGAAGTACACCCCTGGATATATGTCTGTCTCCATGACTTTTGATCCATTTCTGGGCTCTGCAATACTTTATCTAAAGTCAATCCATGGCTGGGCTCTTCACTCCTGCCCTTGGGAGCTGATTGCTCACTTTTACTGTTTTAACTCTATCCCACACCATTCCAGCCAGTTAGTTTACTTCTGTATCTGGATTCTGAGTCTGATTTGTCCGGCACAGGGTATATAGTGCATATAAATTCACATTGGATTTTCTCAGTAGCTGTCAAAAATACTAGTGCTTCAGTTTCCCTGGTCCCACAAGATTCTAATGGATGGATTCAGGATGCAGACTGGGAATTAGGATTCTTTAAAGTTCCCAAGAGATTCCAATGTGCAGCCAAGGTAGTTCAAGCTCCAACAGGAAACCTCTCCCAGGCCACAGGATTTCTGCCTCCTTTCCCCACCTGCCCGCACTCTGCAGCTCTTCAATCCCCACCTCCAAGAAACTCATGGGATAATCTTTTCTTTCCTACTCCAATTTACAATATTCCTCTCAGTATATCTAAAAATATAGGAATAATCCCTGCCTACAAATGGCTACTTACTTAACATAGATGACTTTACAAATAGACTTTACAAACAAATAGTTTACAAACAACTAGAATAATAATCTAATTTAGATAGATACCCATGTGCTCTTGCACATGCTGAGTCACTAAGTCGTGTTGGAGTCTTTGCAACCCCATGGACTGAAGCCCACCAGCCTCCTCTGTCCATGGGATTTTCCAGGCAAGAACACTGGAGTGGGTTGTCATTTCCTTCTCCAGGGGATCTTCCCAACCCAAGGATTGGACCCACTTCTCCTGCATTGGCAGACAGATTCTTTACCACTGAGCCACCCGGGAAGCCCAATTTAGGTAGGGGTGTGTGTGTGTGTGTGTGTGTGTCTGTGTCTGTGTGTGCACTGAGTTGTGTCTGACTTTTGCAACCCCATGGACTTTAGCCTGCCAGGCTCTTCTGTCCATGGGATTTTCCAGGCAAGAATACTGGAGTGGGTTGCCATTTCCTAGTTAGGGGATCTTCCAGACCCAGGGAGCAAACCACTAAACTTAAAATCTGAGATCTTACATATATTCCTACATATTCTGAGTATTCATACAAAAATATATACACAAAGAGGGGTAGTCACAGAGATGGTCAAAACTGAGATAGAAATGGGAATTCCAATGGAGGCATTTGCCAAAACTCACAGTGGCTGGCACCCCGTCAAGCTGTCGAGCCCCATGATTTGACACCAAGATCCCATCCAAACCGTGTTTAACTGCCGTCTTGGCATCATCACCTAGAAAGAGTAATATAACCACGGTATGGAAAAGGCAACTTAATAAAAGGCTTGAATTTTGAGGCCAAAGCATCCCCATCAAAGGGGCCCCAACCTGATACATATGTATCTTGCTCAGAAACTTTAGCATAGACATACACCCAAGGGTTAAATCTAGAATTATACTGATGATTTCTTTGGCCAAAAAAGGTTAACATTTGAAACAGCTTAATGATGAAATAAAACTATCAATAGATGGCAAATTGGCATGCAGTTAAAATGTATTTATCCTCATAAGGAAATACCCTTGATAAGTGTTTTTTATTATTATTAACAAGATTAAATTATTTAGTATTCAACATAATTACTCCTCCAAAATTTGAATAACATAAAAGAACATATAAGTAGCAAGCAATTTATGTGATGAACAAGTCTATTTCAAAAATATTCTTTAATACAAAGCTTTAGCTTCAGTAATTATTTTAAGTAATAGCATTCTATAATTAAACATATTTTGTCCATTGAAGCATATAAAAATGTAACAGTCAAATGATATGCTACATCTTTAACCATTCTTCAAAATATACTGATTTTTGAAAATGTGGTTTTAAATTTGACTAACATACTCCGAAATCAATTTCAAATCTTTTAAAAATATTTTACATCTTTAAACTATTATCTTCAGGATTCTCCCAATAAAAGCTATTTGCTAACAGAATCATGAAAAGAACACTGCTTCTCAAGTTTAACCCTCAAAAATAGCCCAAGGTTGTAGTGAAATCAGATTGTGGAAACTTAGGCAGATAGATACAGAACATTATGTATATTTATAAATTCAGCAATGGAGATCAAGGGAAGACCTGACTAAGGATAATAAAAAAGAGATTCATAGGAGAATTTGTAATTTGGATTATTTGAAAATTTGATTCTTTAGACCACCATTTTTCAAACTGTATTTCATGGAATTTTAAAATATTCCCACTTTTCAAAATAAAGCTAGAAATATTTTTGCTCTAAAATTATAGGCATACGAAAATGTTAAACCCACGTGGCATAGAGAATGTCTATATCCTTAAAAATTCATGGGTTGAAGTTTTAACCCTTAATGGGATCGAATTTGGAGATGAACGCTTTGAGAAGTAATAAGGGTTAGATGAGGTCTCAGGCAGTGCTAGTAATAAAGATCATGAGGGTAAGGCCCTCATCATGGCATTAGTGCCCTTACAAGATTACACCAGAGAGCTTGCCTCTTTCCCTCTCCACGCTCACAAGGGAGAGGTCATGTGGGCACACAGCATCAAGGTGACCTCTGCAACTCAAGGGAAGAGCCTTCACAAAAACCAACCATGCTGGCAACCTTATCTCAGACTTCCAGCCTCCACAAGAATGAGAAAATAAATTTCTGCTTTAAAACATTCCCTGTCGCTTTGTAGTATAGTCTGAAGTCAGGCAGATTGATTCCTCCAGTTCCATTCTTCTTTCTCAGGATTACTTTGGCTATTCGAGGTTTTTTGTATTTCCATACAAATTGTGAAATTATTTGTTCTAGTTCTGTGAAAAATACCGTTGGTAGCTTGATAGGGATTGCATTGAATCTATAGATTGCTTTGAGTAGTATAGCCATTTTGACAATATTGATTCTTCCAATCCATGAACACGGTATATTTCTCCATCTGTTTGTGTCCTCTTTGATTTCTTTCATCAGTGTTTTATAGTTTTCTATGTATAGGTCTTTTGTTTCTTTAGGTAGATATACTCCTAAGTATTTTATTCTTTTTGTTGCAATGGTGAATGGTATTGTTTCCTTAATTTCTCTTTCTGTTTTCTCATTGTTAGTGTATAGGAATGCAAGAGATTTCTGTGTGTTAATGCCACAGTCATCAAAACAGTATGGTACTGGCACAAAGACAGAAATATAGATCAATGGAACAGAATAGAAAGCCCAGAGATAAATCCACGAACCTATGGTCACCTTATCTTCGACAAAGGAGGCAAGGATATACAATGGAAAAAAGACAACCTCTTCAACAAGTGGTGCTGGGAAAACTGGTCAACCACCTGTAAAAGAATGAAACTAGAACACTTTCTAACACCATACACAAAAATAAACTCAAAATGGATTAAAGATCTAAATGTAAGACCAGAAACTATAAAACTCCTAGAGGAGAACATAGGCAAAACACTCTCCGACATAAATCACAGCAGGATCCTCTATGACCCACATCCCAGAATTTTAGGAACAAAAGCAAAAATAAACAAATGGGACCTAATGAAACTTAAAAGCTTTTGCACAACAAAGGAAACTATAAGCAAGGTGAAAAGACAACCCTCAGATTGGGAGAAAATAATAGCAAATGAAGCAACAGACAAAGGATTAATCTCAAAAATATACAAGCAACTCCTCCAACTCAACTCCAGAAAAATAAATGACCCAATCAAAAAATGGGCCAAAGAACTAAACAGACATTTCTCCAAGGAAGACATACAGATGGCTAACAAACACATGAAAAGATGCTCAACATCACTCATTATCAGAGAAATGCAAATCAAAACCACAATGAGGTACCATTACACACCAGTCAGGATGGCTGCTATCCAAAAGTCTACAAGCAATAAATGCTGGAGAGGGTGTGGAGAAAAGGGAACCCTCTTACACTGTTGGTGGGAATGCAAATTAGTATAGCCACTATGGAAAACAGTGTGGAGATTTCTTAAAAAGCTGGAAATAGAACTGCCATATGACCCAGCAATCCCACTTCTGGGCATACACACCGAGGAAACCAGAACTGAAAGAGACACGTGCACCCCAATGTTCATCTCAGCACTGTTTATAATAGCCAGGACATGGAAGCAACCTAGATGCCCATCAGCAGACGAATGGATGAGGAAGCTGTGGTACATATACACCATGGAATATTACTCAGCCATTAAAAAGAATTCATTTGAATCAGTTCTAATGAGATGGATGAAAGTGGAGCCCATTATACAGAGTGAAGTAAGCCAGAAAGATAAAGACCATTACAGTATACTAACACATATATATGGAATTTAGAAAGATGGTAACGATAACCCTATATGCAAAACAGAAAAAGAGACTCAGATGTATAGAACAGACTTGTGGACTCTGGGAGAAGGCGAGGGGGGGATGTTTCAAGAGAACAGCATCGAAACATGTATATTATCTAGGGTGAAACAGATCACCAGCCCAGGTTGGGTGCATGAGACAAGTGCTCGGGCCTGGTGCACTGGGAAGACCCAGAGGGATCGGGTGGAGAGGGAGGTGGGAGGGGGGACCGGGATGGGGAATACATGTAAATCCATGGCTAATTCATTTCAATGTATGACAAAAACCACTGCAATGATGTAAAGTAATTAGCCTCCAACTAATAAAAATAAATGGAAAAAAAATAAAATAAAACATTCCCTGTCTCAGGCTATTACATTTTGTTATAGCAACTTGAGATGACTAAGACATTGTGTCATCATGATATTATTATTACTAGCAGAGAATAGTATACATAAGGAATATATACTATACAGTGTGCATGTTAAGTCGCTTCAGTTGTGTCTGACTCTTTGCGACCCCATAAACTGTGGCCTGTCAGGTTCCTCTGTCCATTGGCTTCTCCAGGCAAGATACTGCAGTGGGTTGCCACGCCCTTCTCCAGGGGATGGTTCCAACCCAGAGATCAAACCCACATCTATTCCATCTAACATGCATTGGCAGGCTGGTTATTTACCACTGGCACCTCATGAGAAGTCCATATACTGTATATACTATACTATATATATGTTAGGCTTCACAGATGGTGCTAGTGATAAAGAACCCTCCTGCCAATGCTGGAGACGTAAGAGACGTGGGTCCTATATAAGAAATGTATGGTGTGTGTGTGATGCCCTTCAGTTCAGTTCAGTTGAGTTGCTCAGTCATGTCTGATTCTTTGCGACCCCGTGGACTGCAGCATGCCAGGCCTCCCTGGCCATCCCCAACTCCCAGACCTTGCTCAAACTCAGGTCCATCAAGTCAGTGATGCTACCCAGCCATCTCATCCTCTGTTATCCCCTTCTCTTCCTGCCTTTATCTTTCACAGTGTCAGGGTCTTTTCCAATGAGTCAGTTCTTCGCATCAGGTGGCCAAAGTATTAGAGCTTCAGCTTCAACATCAGTTCTTCCAATGAATATTCAGGGTTGATTTCCTTTAGGATTAACTGGTTTGATCTGTTAAAAGACTGTCCAAAAGACTCTCAAGAGTCTTCTCCAACACCACAACTCTAAAGCACCAATTCTTCGGTACTCAGCTTTATTTATGGTCCAACTCTCACCTCCATACTTGACTACCGAAAAAACCATAGCTTTGACTAGATGGACTTTGTCAGCAAAGGAATGTCTCTGCATATTAAGTAATGTCTCTGATTTTTAATACACTGTCTATGTTGGTCATAGCTTTCCTTCCAAGGAGCAAGCATCTTAATTTCATAGCCACAGTCACCATCTGTGGTGATTTTGGAGTCCAAGAAGATAAACTCTCTCACTGCTTCCATTGTTCCCCCATCTATTTGCCATGAAGTGATGGGACCAGAAGCCATGGTCCTAGTTTTTTGAATGTTGAATTTTAAGCCAACTTTTTCACTTTCCTCTTTCACCTTCATCAAGAGGCTCTTCGGTTCCTCTTCACTTATTGTGATAATGGTGGTGTCATCTGAATATCTGAAGTTATTGATATTTCTCACAACTTGTGTTTCATCCATCCTGGCATTTTGCATGATGTACTATGCATAGAAGTTAAATAAGCAGGGTGACAATATACAACCTTGATGTACTCTTTTCCCAATTTGAAACCAGTCCATTGTTCCAAGTATGATTCTTACTGTTGCTTCTTGACCTGCATACAGATTTCTCAGGAGGCAGGTAAGGTGATCTGGTATTCCCATCTTCTTAGGAATTTTCCAGTTTGTTGTGATCCACACAGTCAAAGGATTTAATGTAGTCAATAAAGCAGAATAAGACGTTTTCCTGGAATG